TCACGTTTACGAGCCTCCAATTTTATTTCAGGCTGAGAATCCGAATTTTCGACTAGAACAGTTCGATAAAATTTGTATTCACTTTATTTTAAAATAAATATCTAATAAAACTTGCGAATCTATTAATATCAATTATACCATTTATGTCGATGTTTCAAAATAAATTTCTTATTATAAATATATACACGTGTGGTGTCCATTTATGTACATATTTCTAATCAATCGTTTATTTGGAAAACATCGAACCTGTAATTTAATTTAAACAAATTTCTTCGATAGACATAGAAGGTGAGAATACTTACGAGACTGACTGTATTCACGAACGAGGATGTGCGTTGAAGACTTTAGTCCGAGTTTGCGACAACAAAAAACTAAATTCACATACCTTCGCGTTACGTTACTCATTGATAAATAAAATTCTCCTATACGTTGCATTATAGAGGACGGTTATAATGCTGGTAGAGAGATGAACGTAGGGGGTTTATGGTCACGGAGTTCCTGTTACGAGCGAAAGTTCATAAACGTTCGAATGACTCGGGACATTTTTCACGTTTTAGAATCTGAACGTGAAGGACGCCTCGCAGTATGAACGGGCCGTCATCCTAAGCTGGGAACGATCGTTAAATTATCGGTAATGCGCGCGACAATGCGTCGTAAAGGATTCTTCGCGAAATACCTATAATTTATCGCGCTGAATTCACTTTGGAGCGCGCAATGAAGTCATCGTTAAAAGTATGCGTACCTATATAACCACACTGTTTTTTTTTTTTTTTTTTTTGTATTCTTTAACGCGACCGTAACCGTTAGCGACGACTCGAAAAGAATTCAATTCCAACGTCATTCATTCCATTTCGACGCTTCGAGCTTCCGAGACGGTATCGTCGCCCATTGAAATCCCCCGAGCGAAGATTGCCTTAATGTCATGTTCGCAATTTTATTACGCGATAATTAGCCACGTCATCGATTCGAACTCTTCTCTGTTCGATGTGGAATTCGCTCCTTTGTGGACACGTCGAGGTTCGAATTTTTTCAATCGAATACTGACGGAGGTGCACAACTTTTTAATGAGAACCGTCGTTTCTGGAATTCCTGTTGCGTAGGTTGTTGTTACCTACACATAGCACGCCACGCTATTCTTGAGTCGCGAACAAGAATCATGCGCCGAGCAAACCTTCCGTTGACGGTGTTATAAATTTAACCTCTTGAGAGACGAATTTCAAGTGGATTTTCTTTTGCTTTAATCGTATACAAATATCGTGTCCCACTTTAATATTGTATACTTTTTTTTTATTCTAAAAGGTATTGTGGCAAAGTGTTATAAATCCATACGAAACCAAAGCAATGTTTACTTGCAAATCGATTTTGACATTTAAATATCCTGTTCCACTTTAATATTCGATATATTTTTAATTCTAAAAGATATTGTAATCAAGTATCGCAAATAACAGTAATTTTGGTATAAAAGCAAACGTAAACATACACGGTGTCCCAGCCCAAAATATTGGGATTCTTCTCATTTTCCGCATGGTGCTTACTGCATCAATGGGACCAAGGTTTCTCCTTGGAAATTAGCAAACTTTGAAGCGTTGTAGCTTGAAAACTAATAAAAATCGGGTAAATACATTGAAGCTTAATGAATTCGAATAGAAAATTGCTATCGCATGGTATAAAAATAAGTATATAGTTCCATTTGAAAAACGAAACTAGACCATCATATCTCGTTAAATAAAAAAGTTAACAAAAATCTCTTTTCGCTGAAACATGAGGCCTATTTTACCATGCAATTTCCATATTTGAAATTTTGCATTCGGCCGATAGTTTCGGAGTTTGAGCACTTTTTCACTTAAGCTGGGACACTCTTTATGTCTCTCAGATACCCATCCCCACCGCTGCCAGCCCATTCATATTTCTTTTGCCCGTAGTTTTGCACGAGTAGCCCCGACCACCGGTGTAATATGATCCTCACCGATTGATACGCTTCTGTCGAGTGTTCTTTTTTCCTCGGACCTCTTTCTCTTTCGCTATCTGTCCTTTTCTACGTTCGACGCTCGGCACGTGTCAAGTGTAAACACATAAAAACACTCGAGTGTCAATATTTTGGGTCTCCGATTTTGCGTGCCTCCTTCAGTCGCTACTGTATCTTCTAATGTTTTGCCAACAAACTTCGAGTGCAGATAAGGACAGCGAACGAAGAGGAGGACGGAGCGAAATGCGAAAATGGCGACCAACACCGGGATTATTTCGGTGAAACATGTTGTAAATATGCTGCGAATCGCGTTCGTGTTTGGTATCATTTTAATCAGAAAAATGTCAGGAATACGATGGTAACAGTTTTACAAGAAAAACGGTAATAATAAAAAAAAAAGTTTGATCGTTGCATTAGCATTGTCTCATCGAGATATCCCGGATCATGTTACTGTCCATTTATCGTAGAGAAACTTGTGCATTTAAGGAGACTGTTCAATTATATATGTATGTGTCAATATCTTTCAAGAGGTGTTAACCTCTTTAGAGGCGAATTGTGTTGTATAGAATAGACTAAAAACATGTGGCCGCTGTTGGCCTGTTACATCTATCAGTTTTGTATCATTATTATTGAATTACAATAACTGTAAACTCTAGACTAAAATAGCCCGTTAAGAGGGTTGAAACCTCGAAGATCCATCTATCGTTTCCTTTTCAAGACTGATGAATTTATTGATTGGTCAAGCTAAGAGGCACTTTGAATAGCGTCGATATCAATAAAAGTATTAATTTATCAAATTAAGACAAGTAGGACAGTACATTATTCTCTTTCGACACCCTTTCAATTGATTGAGCCTCTCCTCTCGCATTGCATTCTCGTATGTTAACTGAGTATTTCAGAGTGTTTCAAAATGGATTGTTGGGGATTATTGGGACATAGTTTCCAATAAAATGCTGCCCTCAGGGCCTGTAGCTATATTTGATTGCAGCTACAGTACGGGTTTAGCAATCCCGACGTACCCGAGCTATAATAGGGCTAGTGGACCCTGACAGGCTACGTCTCTAATGAGAAAATTATGAAGAGTACGCAAGGAAATACAAATGCAAAGTAATGTACAGCAGGAATCAAATGAATGCAAAGAATGAACGAATGGCACCCTTATAAATAAAACTCACTCACTCATTACGAATATTTAATTTCGATGGGAATGGCGACTGTCGTGTTATAGAATTTAAAAGAGCTCGAAAAATATACGTGTACACAACTGCTGGTGTATGCCAGGAAATGCAAATGCAAAGGAATGAAAAGCAGGAATCGAATGAATGCAAAGAATGAACAAATGTAGACTTTGCACCCTTATAAATAAAACTCGCACGCTCGTTACGAATATATAATTTCGATGGGAAAAATAAATGTACACATATGTGTTAGCATGCTTGAAAAGGTTCAAAAGGAAAATGATCTGCGTAACTTCTCAAAGCAGTAATCACGACACTTGAATTAGAATGAATGTGTAGAAATGCAAGAATGCATAAAAAAAGATACTTTAGACAGCTTAGAAGGAAAACATTCTTCTCACTCGAGTTTCTGAAAAATATGAATATGCATAAACATCTACGTTTAATAATAGATCGTCGTTCAAGTATAGACTCATGAACATATATCCCCTTCGATTGAAAAGCTGTCGTCGATTGCCAGGATGAGCAGATCCTTCAGCCACCTTCGTCCAGCGATAAATATACATACTTTCCAGGAAGAGTTAGACGTCTATGTCTGAGAAGATTGCGAATACCGAAGACGCAGTCGGTTTGCTTTCCGTGCTCCCCGGATGTTTTGAATTTTATCTCTTTGGAATATCTTGAGTAGCTCGCTCGTGGAGGCCATGCGTTACTACAGCGTTGTTCAAAAGGATTAGGCACTCGCTGAACATTCGTGTATAGTTAGTTGAGCTCCAGGAACGGTGTCGATAACGAGCCCGCCACCATTTTAATTCCTGCCGTGTTATCGCGGCCGCGCTTCTAGTCTCTAGAGTTCACCGTCGCCGCTTTCGCCGTAATATAACATTTCGTAATGTGGGTAGTCGGAAGGCAACGTTGACCGAAACGGTAAACAAGCGGCCGTTGAATGTTTAATAAGCGTTCCGTCTCAGTCGAGCTGGAGCAGTCGAGGTGCAAACAGACATTGGCCTGAAAAAGGTGAGGTTCCATTGCCCCGAGAGAGAGAGAGAGAGGGACGGCAGAAAAACAGAAAAGAGAAAAACGGAGATTTATCCGATTAATCTGCATACGGGCAGGCAACGTGTCCGTCATGCTCGCGTCCCGCATACCTATCTTGTCAGGCCAGAGCCTCGTTACTTTTTCCTCCCATCCCACCCTGCACTCGACTCTTTTTTACGCGCGCAAGCATGAGCTGGCGCCGTACAATGCTGCCGATTTCGTAAGTGTAGCGTGGCGATTCGCAAAGTGTTCCAGCGCGTTTACGCGCGTGTGCCGTAGGAACTGGGCCGAGCATCCGTTTCCTTCCAACGATTCCGCGTCGCGTGGCTCTCCTGTCGGCTCCCCGGGTTAGCCTAAGCGGTCGCGGACTTTTTATGGGAACGAGGCGCCGTGAGAAGCGCCCAGGAAACGCTCCACGGTAGGCCGTTTGCGTTAAAAAGTTGGACGGGATTATTCGTGCGATTCAACGAGACTGGAGATAAGGAAATTGGCGAAGAACGTGGGCTTCCTGAGAAATGAATTTTAGGATATGTTTATACAGAATGTTCAAAAGTGTTTATATCTCAGAAACGGTTGACCTTTCTGTCCATGTTTGCTAAAGCTTTTTTATTCGCAAGGGAAGGACACATTATCACATTATAAATCATTCTTACTCTACCCAAGAAATTGAGCGTATTCGGCGCTTTATAATCGAATAAAATTTGTCTTGATCTTCAAGATGCATAAAATGAAAGATCAATACCCTCAGAATTTCAAATGTACAAAGATTCTCGCAGTAACGATCTACTGATCTCTTTGAAGTAGCGTTTGAAACTTACTTGAAAAGGTTAAATCGAGCCAGCCGCTTGCATTCTTCGTCAGTGTTCGCAGCCGTGGTAATCGAAACCTGCAACGAAAGAAATCGATTCTTCAATTCTCCGGTACTACCGCTTCCCGCCTAAAAATCGGGAAACTCCCATTCTCGAGCAGGAATCGCACGGGTTATCGATGGCGCGCGTATCGCGTCGATTTATTGCCGGTGGAAATCTGTCTGAGCCATCTGACGGCGTGCATTATGCATTCGCACGCAGTTTCGTGGACGGTATCGCGAAATTCATCGAAAATAGGCGAATCCATTCGAGGCTAGATCCCGTTAGGGAACGCCAGATATGGAACGATTCGCAGGGAACGTTGGAGAACAAGGCGCACCGGTGTTTCCTCGTGCCTCGTGTTACACATTTCAGGCAATGTTTCAATCTGACGCGGCTTTACCCTATCGCCATATTATCGCTATTTTACCGCGCTTTTTGGGCCGGATCGTGCGCGAACGGAGCGCGCAAGTGAAACCCGAGATCAGAAACACGAAATTTATCAGAGAAACGGCTGGTGTCCGAGTTCACCCCGTGCGTGTGTTGAGCGTGCATTTTACGCGCGTCTCCGATATGTGTTCGCGCCCTGACAGGCTGCTTTGCATTCGATCCCGTTAAAAGACAACCCGGAGATCCTTTCGCTTCTGGACAAATTTAAATTGGCCTGCGTGCGTATAAAGCTGAGTCTATGGTACCTCGCGGAGGATCTGTTGGATTTCCAGCGTGTAGAAAGTGGAGTGGTTAATATATGCGTACGCGAACACGAATATCCTTTCTACAGAACCGTGGAAATTATTTAGGTCGAGTTATGAACATTTACAGAAGTCTATTTTCCGGTCACAAGCTTAGGAATAAATACTATGTTGAAATAGTGCAATTGTTCCTTTTTTAGGATCTCTACCCTGTATCTAGCTCTATACTATATGTTCAACCTGATATCGCCTGTTTAATCCAAAATATTTATCTTGTTCTTGTGTAAATATCTAGCCACGTTTAATGCCTTTCCATAAAAATAAGGTTCTAGAGGACAGTGCCAATTATATCGCACCCATTATTCATACGAATTATTCAAACCGTTTATATTTCTGACCTGATAGGACCTTGAAGCTATTAAAAGTAGCACAAATAAGGGATATTGTTATTTACATATGCATACATAATTTGTTTATAACTGCACATCTTAAAAGATGCATGTTTCCTTGAAGTTTTCTTGGATAAATTTGTAAATAATAATATTCCTTATTTGTGCTATAATTTAATAGCTTCGACAACTTTGTCAAAAACCAAATAAGGGATATAATCACATATAAATAAATTACAAAGTAATAAATTCATAAAGATTCATGAACTCAAATAAGAAATATAAATAATAACGTCAAGTATAAATATATATATAAATACAAATATCCCTCATTTGCTGTCAAAAATGGAAACGAAGTTCGAAAACCTTAAATCTCTCTAAAAACCCAAAATCTCCTCCACGTTAAGTTTCCTCTGAGGAATAACACCCTACGACTCACCCATCGACCGATGTTATCGCGATTCCGCCGACCATTCCCTACCAGCACGCCTTAAGAGAAAATCATACGTCCAGCCATCCGAGGAACACCTCGACGATGTAAAGCGTCTGAAAAAGAATCCGAAACCCGTACGGTAACCCGACATCGACTACGATCGACTTCCTACGCGAGCCATCGGCTCCCGAGGCCCGCTCCGCCTCGCCTGTAATACAAATTTCTCGCTCGATTACTGGAAAACCGACATCAACGTCGGTCCAGGCGATCCCCGCGTGCTCGCCACCCCCAAGCTGAAACGATCGGGGTGAAAAAATGAACGACATCACGAACACGATACGAGACTTTATCCCCCGAGAGCTTTGGCAGAATTTGCATCGCGTCCCGTTAGAGGACAGCGATCCCAGATGCGGCGCGCCGGCATAGTGAAACGCCTACAACGAGACGCGGCGATCTCTCCTCGATGTTACGCGCGCACGTCCAGCTGGATGGGTAGAGACGGAGAGATCGGTGGAAAAAATTCGCTCAGCATACGAATATGGAAATAGCGGCGGATGAAGTGCGCCTAGTTCGCGAGCATGAGCGCGCCAGCTGCACGTGGCGGTGCACGCGCGGAGGAACAGGCCTTCGGTCGTGCGTTGATCTAGCCGCCATTTTACCGTGTTTTGCTTTTATTTCGATAGACACTCGGAATAATCTGCTCCGGTATGGTTCGGTGTGACGAGTGTGGGAATGAAGCAAACGATGGACGAGCGAGTCGAATAGCGTTTGTTGTCGTTTAGTAGGATGTCTCGATCGTTAGCGCGTGGGACCAGGTAGAGTAGTTGGAACAAGAAACGAGTTGATGGAAGAAGAGCTTACGTTACGCATTAACCCTTTGCTCTCGGATGTTCCCTATGAGGGAAGCGAGTCTAGCATATTTTATTAGCGATTACGTAGAATAAATTTATGCTAGGGCAAATTCTTTTAAAAATGCATCTTTCCTTTAACTTTTCTTGTTGGAATCGGCACGCTAGGATGTCACCTACTGTAAGAATACGAAATACTTTTTGTTCCTTTTCCGTTTTTAACCGACTTCGAAAAGGGGGAGGTTACTCAATTCGACATGAATAGTTTCTTTTTTCTGTGATGGGATCAGAAAGCTTCCTATCTGACAAAGAAAACGTATTTCTGTTGAAGGAACTAACGTAGAAGGCGATCCATTTGTGTTTTTACTTATCCTCGATAAAGCTGTGTAAAAAAAATCCGGTTTATATTCGAATGACCCTCGTACCTTGAATTTTAAGATCTTTTACGGTCCTTTAGCTCCGCGCCCTGGAAATTCACTAGCGACGAATTAGCGAGCCATTTCTATGTACGCCGCTGGTCATCCAGAGGATATCCTCTGGTCTTACATGGTCTGAGCGGTAACTGTACGCGTCGACAAGCAAAAAATTCGTGTACCAGTGGTAATGAGAGAAAGAGATTCATAAATTTCGCCGTTACGGCGCGGACTTGAACGCGAAACTGTAACGGTCTGCTTTTGGCGTTTATCGCGTAACATCCTCCGCGTCCGTATTGAATTTACTTTTCTCCTCGGCCATTTCCTGCGATGCCTATGCATGCATCTTTTTCCCGACTCTCGGCAAACTTCCTCAAATATCGTGCAATCGCGTGATAAACGACAGAATTATCGGAACATTTGTATGCCTTGCAACCGGTTCTTCCTCGGTAGTACATTATAATTAGACTGGGGATTTTATGCGTCTGTGACGTGCGCGATTATGAAGAAACACATGCTAAACGTACCCGCGGCAGAGCCCGTGTGCACTTATGCGAAATGAAATACTAACGCTACTATATATGTATTTATGAAATATATCCCGCGTACGGCCTGCAAATGTTTTCGACATTAGCATACATGTGTGCAGATACATCAGAAACGCATGAGGCTCGCGGTGTAATTATAACACCCATTCATTTCGTCCCCGGTTTTCATCGGAATTACGTAGACGCGCCTAATCTCGAGGACTTCTTATTCATTTTAAAGGGATTAGGTATTTTCTAGGAATTTTCCAATTAATACTTTCGTCGAGCCAAGAGAATTATATGGATTAGCTAGTGAAAGAATTATTTATCAGCGACATGCACCAATATATTATTCTTACGAATGTAATGTCGATCGAGGAAACGAAAGGGGTAGCAAAATAATTAGAAAATATCCAACGTATTTGCTTGTACCTGGAAATTAGTTAATCAAAAATCACTGTATGCTTAACATACTTTCAACACTTTCGCGTTAGTACGGCTAATGACACCGCATGAAAGTAATTTTTTTTATGCAAATCCTGGAATTGATTAATGCAAAGAGTTAAGCAGTTCAAGAGCCGTGCAATTACTCAAAGCCAAGGCTTAAGAGGTTAATCCGCTTTAGCGCTCGTGGACTCAATTATTGCGCAAGTTTCCGTCGCAGTCGAAGGGTCAGGAAATTTTCCTCAACACGGCTGAGCAAGTGAGTATTTATGAACGGGTGTATTTTCTTATAAGGCCGACAGTTGTTTCTCTAATTGCTCCCTGGCGGAGAAATTCATAAGGAGAGGTCGATTGCCTTTTGGATACAAATATTTAGTATGTAATCTATGGAAATTAATTAACCGTCGTTTAACGTTTTCTAGAAAGAATGCCGCTTAACGCACAAACAATTATTTGCCTACAGTTTCTGTAATAACTACTGAAAACTGGTTGTCCTATTAAAGCAAGCCAAGATCCTTTCGACCAGGGATATTTGCATAAATTTAATGATTCGGATTGTAATTTCCATCGAGCAAAAGATGAAAGAGAAATTGTTCGTCTTTCGTTCGTTGTTGGAGATTTTTCTGTAGATTGGAATTTAACCCCATCTGTGGCAACGAGGCGTGCGGATCTATTCGCGAGGCGCGAGATGGCGAGATTATGGCGTCGCGTGTATTCATGGCGCGTAGTGGCAAGGACCGGCATTAATTCAAAGCGAGCAGCGATCGTGGCTGCGCGACAGGAACCCAGATCCTTGATAGTCGAAGAGAGCATTTAACCGCAGTCAACTAATTTCTCGATATATCGTCACGCGTTCGCACCGTTGAGAATCTCTCATCGAGCACGGAACACTTTGTTCCGTCGTTTTTAGATCCACCCAGTATCGAAGGTCTAATTGAATTATCAGTAATTAAAGAGCAACTTAGTTTTCTTTTAACAGTTTTGTGACGACTTTCGTGATTCTCTCGAAGCCAAAGTAATAAGGCCCTGAAATATTTAAATAAAAATATTGCAAAATGATGTACTGGAAGTGTGATACACTTGACACACAAATTTTAATATATTTCATTAACCCTTATCAGAAATTATTTTCCTGCAAAATTTATTATAAACGTCGACACACTTCCTGTACACAGTCAATACTTGACTAACCCCATTTTAAAATTGAGTTTTAAAAAATTTTATCGACAGACAACATGTACATAGCCAAAAGGTTATCACCCTAAAAGGTTCAACTCTGACACGCACTGCGC